CTAACAAATTGGTATGTTCTAGTTATTTTTTTGTTTCTTGTCACCACTTATAAATAACGATATTCAGAGAGGTGTTTTGTAGATATGATAATAATTTTAATAGTTGAATTCATGAATCCATTGAAGTTAGATCACTATTGAGAAACTTGAAAGAACTGAATAGCCGTTTCATCCTAGTATGGGATTACTTAACAGTGTGCATTAATTAATTGATGAATTCAATTAAAAATAACAATATGACAATGAAAAATAATCGGTATTTTGTTGGAACGATTTAAATAATGTTTCTTTCCTTTTTCTTGTGGAAAAATTACTTTTTTATTTTAAGCTTTTTTCATAATCAGAACATAATGACCTAGTGAAATGATAGTTATATAATATACCCTTGTGGGCCATGGTAATTTTACATTGGTTTTCAGGGGAACCAGATACCAATCAGACTCGCGTGACAACCCAAACAGTACAGCCCGATCCCGTTTAACAGGAGAGCCAGGCACACCCCAGGCTTAAACTTTATAAACCGAGTAGTACAGCTAAATCCCGCTTCACATGAGAACCAGATACCGTATAGGCTTTAACGCTGCAATCTGAATAGTACAACTCACCCCTGTGGCGCAACCACACAGGTGCCAAGCACCCTGGTGGACCATTCGCACCACTCATATAAACATTCACGTCGCATGTATAGTTATTCCGATCAATGATCGCGCGAATCAATTATGCACATCACGAACAGGTCAAAGTTGACCTATTCCGCTTACAGGAAAGTCAAACTCATTAATTTTAGCAATGGTGACATGCCTTACAATGTCCCAATGACAATGGAACTTGAGAACACTGAAAAGCAACCACCAGTATGAATGAAACCGGTTAACCAGCAAACCAATTTCGTGCATGAACAGTCAGCAAAACTTGCCAAAGTAATGCCGAAGCATTCAAAATACCAATGGTGAACCTCTAGTCCCATATGAGACCTTCAGCTCTACACAGCCATATAGCTTATAGGTCATAGGGTAGTGATATGTGTAGATAATTATTTTAATTAGAAAATGTATTTTTAATGTATCACGAAAAAGTATCTGAAAAATAGTATGTCTTTAATGATTATCTTAGAATGTACTGTTATATTAAAATAAACGGGCAGGTATAGAAAAATGAATAAATGAATGTTTAAATTTATTAAGATGATATTCCCTGAAAGACGAACTGAACTCAAAGTACCAATTACTTTTAAATGACTTAATTTGCTATTTACAGGTAAAACAATTGAAAAATAATCATATTCCCAGTTTTTTTGGTAAGTTGTCATTCGAAAATGATCCAGCCCTTGGTTTATTTGGGCAAATGACCTATTATGATGTGCGTAAATCCTAAGTTCCGAATAGTTTTTTAAAATCTCTCATTGTAAAAAGACATGTAATGATGACTATGTAACTGTATATTATCCAGTTCTTTACTTTGTAAAACGACATCTGGAAACTCAAGCAATATATATATATATATATATATATACGAAGAGGTAAACTGTCTGACAAATCGAATGGTATAAGCATTTCTCATTTGCCTCATTGATAATAGTTGGTCTATACAACAGATTACAAGTTGTTTTAATGGTATAACGTATTATTATACCAATGTGATATATCTTAGATACACACGTTAGCATGTTTTCATGACATTGTTTCATTGAAGGTCGTTGCTACTGAAATCTATGGAAAAAATGTATGATTATTTAAGGAATGAATGATTAATATATATTTAATTATTATTATTATTATTATTATTATTAATGAAATTAAATGTGAAATACTAATGTAATATTAATTTTAATGGTTAAAATCATGAGTGAATTGAAGCTAGATCATTATGGAAAACCAGGAATCACTGGCCGACCGTTTCGTCCTGTTGTGGGACTCCTCATCAGTGCACATCCACGATCCCACCCCGTGAGATTCAAACCCAAGACCTGATGGTCTTGCGCGCGAACGTTTAACCTCTAAACTAGTGCTTCGAAGTTTTCCATAGTCATCTAGCTTCAGTTGAATCATAATCTCAACTATTAAAATATATAGATTTATCAGTGTTTGATAAAAGTTAATTAAATCACTGTCATATCATATAGCCAATTAATCATTTATTTTATACAGTTATAATGATGAAGAGAGAAAATGATTTCAGTCAATTAACTTTCGTATATAGGCGAATATTCCTTTTTATAAATAATTTCAATTAAACAATGATGATTATCTAATTCTTATATTGATTTTCTTTATTTATTTATTTTCTATAATCAATAAAAAATCAATTTAACAAATCTAATGATTTAGAGGTAAATATTATTGATTTGGCAATAATAAACGAATCTCATGTTTTATGTAATAAGTTTCTCATTTACTGATAAAAGTCTTTTACTTTAGATAAATTTCTCTAAAAAAAAGTATAACTTGAATGAAATATGGAAATGTTGTTATTAACTAATAGAATAATATGTAATTTATATTTTCCTATAAGTAAAGGAATGTACATATTGTTCAGTCTAATGACAGGATCTCGTTACAACTTGCAAAAAATGTCTAATCAGGTTTATTTAAGAACTGTCACTTGTTAATATGAAATTATCACATGATAATCAGAATATAATTGACAATGAAACATAAGACTATAGGTTTATGACAGGTATTATTTGTCTCTTGATAATAAAGTTTATATCCTTGTGTGTTTTTCAACAGAAAAAAGAAACGGAGACGATAGTGTTTTGAAAATAAACCAAGTCTATTTGTCTACAGAATGATGTGTTAACATAGGATATATGGCCGAATGGACTGGTATCCGAGACTGCGAGGGTAACAGTTTATGTTTTAAGTATTGTTTCAATGAGAATACGTGAACTATACGGGACAAAAAGTCATCTTAAACCTTGGAAGATTTTATACTGCCTATGAACATTTGTAAGTGTTTGATTAAAATATGATCGTACTTAACAACGAAATTACTCAATACTTAAATGTACTGACTAAAAGCTTTCAATGATTGCATTTTAATTACATTAAAATATTTATATAACAACTGAACAAGAAAAACCACCATAGAATTTGATTTTAATTTTATGAACTACTGGGTCTTCCAGAAATACAAACGGGTAATAAAGTTACAGTGGGCCTTCAAAATGAACAACATGGTAGTGAGGAGTTTGTGATGATAGTTGAACTTCAGTAAAATTACGCACCAGTCTACGTTTGGTTGTTTCATGATTTCAACACCATATATATATACATATGATTGGAAGGGTTAACACTATATCTTGTTATAAAGAAAGCTCTACAACTAATCATATGGAAGAATGCTGTTTATTATCAAAAATAGTAATCTTTAGTTGAATATTATAATATGACGCGTCAGCAAATAGAACTGTAGTCCCTTAATTCGCTACCCGGTTGCATGGAAGTGGATGGGCCCTTCTGAAAAGTCCCATACTAGGACTAAAGTGCACTTTGGTGCTCCCGGGTTTTTAATGGTTGTCTAACTTAGATTACTTTGTGATTTCAGTAAAATTCAGCAATCTCCGCAATCTCATGCTGGGCTGTTACATATTATGGGAAAAAAACTATATTATCCAGCAATTTATGATTAGTTAACCAATGGAAAATCAAATTGTTTATATATAGCTGTTTGAAATATATATTTTCCGTAGACATAGATCCCTAATATTATCAGTTCTTGACTGAACAATTTAATTACGTAATAGAAAGTCGATAAATAGAGATAAACAAATTTAGTTCGCACAAGATTTTTTTCGGTGATTGTTGAATGATTATTGACTTGGGAGAAACAATCCAACGTACATAATAACTATCCGGTAAAAAGTTTTACAATATGAAAATTGATTTATGTATTGTTCAGACTTGATTTTATGCATTCTTTGAAGAATTATATGATCTATTGGTACTAATTAGAGTAAAACAAATTAAGTTCCAGTGTAGTATGCATGATATAAATAATCATTTACGCAAAACCAGTCACGTCGCTCAGTTTATTCATTGTTATGTGATAGAAAGTCCCAACTGCTTTAGTTCAGTATCTTGAATTATCTAGATGATTGATAGAAATTTTGTGATCAGTGTTTAAAAAAGACACTGATATCATGTCTAGCATTAAATGATATGTTTGTTTAAGTTCTTTTCCAAGTCAGATAAAAATGTGAATTATGACTCAAAATCGTCATTACATTAACGTACTGATAGCTAATCAGGGTTATCACAAGTGATATTACATTGTAAACAATGCACTTTTTCGATAATTTTTCTTGAACACATGCATATCAAACGAAAATCTGAATTCTATCAGGATTCTTACTGTTAGTCTTCAACAAACACACTATCAATTCTACCAAATGAATTAAGAGGTGCAATTAAATGGTAACCTAGTCTAGCTCAATGTGATTTAGACTCGGACAAAAGAACTCGACTCCAAGGATATTGTGGATCTCCTACATTTTTCTGATTTATATTCGAGTAGAGCATTCAATAACTGTGCGAAACTTAATTTATGGCAAACCATAGCCTGGTAGATTGATAAACATTATCGAAGATAATACATTTAGTACGGAGGCCGATGATCTGAATTCAGCTGTAGTTTCGTGTATTTTTGTAATGTCAAACGTTTCAGTCTATATCAACCTAATCCATTAAATTAACTTCATTCGGTTTAAATTATCCCATTGTTGATAATTTAAAATGAAATTTGATCTGCTTTGGTAGGCAAATGGGCATCCTGTGAGGATTGCCGCGTTATAGCCATTATGAAACAAGTTGTGTTACTATAAACCAGTCTCAGCAAGATAAGGCATTAACTTTTTGACGAACGACAAATTCCAAGTATTACTAGACGGTTAATATACATTTTAGTGAAACATATGTATTTTGATATATATTCAGTTAAAATTTGTATGTACAAACAATATATGAAGAGGAAGTATTTGATGTTAATTCCAACTAACTTACCTCAGATAAATTTTCAGACATGCAGTAATTCTTTGTGAAGATTGTATAATTGACAAGAGTAGGGTCATAAAAAATAGCTGTTAAATAATTTTCATCACTAATTGATATCATTTGTTCTTCGAATGAATTCATAGATTCCATAATTTTCTTAAATGCTTCATGGCTGTAAAAAAGGTAGCAAATCATAAGAGAAAACTTTACTGTAACAAACTATTCATTCATCCAAATATGTTTTCATTAACGATTTGATTATTTCTATTCGTAGTTCATTTATTTTTTGCAAGCAGGAGTTGTGACACCTTTGCTGTTAACCAACAAACGTTTTATGAAAAATATATTACCATTTAAGATTCATATATACATAACAAGTGATCACATTAAGTCTAATATTTACTAAAGGAAACTACCAAATATTTCTTAACTGAATATTAATTTGAGATGGCAACTTTGAGATGGTGGAGATTAGTATCTCACTTTCATGATTTTGATGAAGTTTTGTTCTCTGAACTGGATAGTTTGGTCGTGGAGCTTTTATTGTTCTTCTGAAAGACATCATCAAGATCAAGGTCTTAAGGGCAAGATGGGAGTCATATGTGAAGAAATTCTAACACTTCACATCTACTCGAAGTTTGTGCTAATGATACCGCCCAGAAGAACAATGAAAACTCCAGGACCAAATTATTCAGCTTAAAGAACAAAACTCCGCCAAAAGGATGATAACTTCTCTATACCATACTGTTATGCGGAATATGAAGAATTGTTCAAAATATTTCTTTTCATTATTATTATTCATAGTTGCGATAAATTTTGTGACATTGTATTTCTGTTGCGTTATTTGATGTCATAGTTTTACTTTCATCAATATATGATAATTAACAATATATTCTTTTATCTGTGACTAGTAAGAAGGTGAATTGTTAGAATGTAGATGCTTCGACCAACATATAGTTCATCAATGAGAATGTAATGTTAATCAAATATGTTGAAAGTTTATTTCAAAAGTCAATTAAATGATAACGGATGATTTTACTTGTCACCAATCATAGCCACATGGAATGTCCTGTATTTGATTCTTATGAATAATATGAAAGATTCGGTCAGTGCTTTTACAATTTATTAACCTAGTAAGCTTATAATATATTCCCATTTATAATATAGTATTTTTAGGAGTATTTTGCAGTAACCGAGATAGCACTACAATGTTCTTCCGTATTCAGTCAGTGTATTCAATCTATTGCATCGATTAGTGTGGTATTAAACTGCAATACTGAAGAGTATATGATTTTTTAGGGTCACTGGACTAAGTAAAAGAAAGCATGCGGAAATCGGGATGAGATAAACATCACACTACAGTGTAATTTTGTATATAGCATCAATATTTCACTAAGTTTTCATTCTACCTGTTATGATGACTATAAATATTGTTATAAACCTGTTAAACAGGAAGTTTTACCGTTATTCTAAAGCGGATCAAGTCTTCTAAATTCGTTTGTATCCTATAAGGCGCATAGTTATAAATTCCTACATTTTTGTGTATACGTGCGTATGAAAATTTATTCTACTGTTTTAGTTGGGATATCTTATAAAGTGTGTACAAGTGAATATCCGTGAAACATAACAGTTTAGTGGAACAAATCAAATATAACCAAACGGCATAAAACACTCTAACAGTAGGCAAGTAATTAAGCAGACCACCCACTGTGAAAAAAGAGATAATTTTAAAAATGACCCCTATGATAAAAAAAACGGTCAAGCAAGTAAATTATTATACTGTTCATAAAAGCTGGTACAATTCATTACTAACATAACTTTAATATTTGATCACTGTATTAATTTGATATACACATGATGATGGCACCAACAAGGTTATCTTAAACCATATCATTTTATTTAATACTTACTTAAGATGGTGTTTAAAACGAAAGTTCGTTTGCAGATTGTTATATTAAAAACTTAGGGTTATTTGTATGTTACATGAGATGAACTTTTTAAAAACTAGACAAAATCTTTAGTGGGTACAGAAGATAAACAAATATACATCTTACAATGTATCACGAACTTTATTTACTAGTTTCCAGACAAATTAAGTTATCTTTGAATGAGCTAATTTTAAGATAATCATTTCAAAAATCATATTCAATCTCAAGTTGTAGAACATTTAGATCAAAACTTTATAAGTATTTGAGCAGTTCAATTAAACTGACTTGAAAAAGTTTTAAATGACTTTTCATCAGCGTGTAAAATGACTGTTGATTAAAAGGATTTAGTGGTCGCTGATGACTAGCAACAACTCATTATATAAATGGTCAGTCGCTACAATAAAACTCTTACTCTCAATCATTATGTATTCAATGTGTCAACACAATAATATGAAGTGATAGTAATATGTTATATATTTGATATGAAAGCTGTTTTATTGTTGTGAAATATTATTGAATGATGATAACTAAAACTATCAACGATATAAACAATAAATGGTAATATGATTTTGAATAGATTGATTCTGTTCATTTCAACTCTGTATCATCGTGACTGCGCAAAATAATAATGGATGTAATGCAAATATATAATACTGTCCCTTCGGACTATGAAACATATGAAAGTCGTTGTCTATGTTTTTTTTAAAATTTATTCTATTATAATACATTTTGTATTGTTTATCTGAATCTTCCAATTGTCTCTTACTAGCATATGTACATCCTGTGTGAACTGCTTTGATTGCCATAAGTCACAAGCATGATAAGCTGAGATGATGATTGCTAGCAAGCGTCCTAGATTCCACTACTAACCACCATCCATCTTTGCCTATTACAGTTGTTTACGGATCAAATTATTACTGGACATATTTTAAAAATGGATTTCAAAAGAGTGAGAACGTTCACTTTCAACTTAGCGAATACAACGTTCCGACTTTTGAATACTTTGAGTTATTGCATGTTTTCATGTGAAGTTCAAACTTATTTACATAAAAATACATGATAAATACCTTAGACTTTGGATTAAGAAATGCATATAGTAACTGTTACCTGTTAAAATAATAAAAATCAGTTCGACTGTCTATTTCAATTATTGTTAGCTTTTGTTAGTATTTTATTGAAATGTAGTGTCATGTTTATTCAAATGATTGAAATCAATAAAGACTAAAGCGAAACGTATATAATGAATAAATCAACATATTTTTAGTTATTCGTCATTAGCAATCTTGAAAAGTTAAAATTAGAAAGAATCAATTCTTCAGAATTAGGATTCATACTGTTTATTTAATGCAAATACAGTGATGTTATGTGTTCAAATCCAAAATGAGAATCGTAGAAAAATCGTAGATAACGTCACTAACAATAAACAATCCAAACAACAAGTGGCACTCATAAATGAATACATACAGAATAGATAGTTTATATTCGTAAAATTAAAAACAGAAAATTAAATTCAAGTTAGAATTTATACAAATAGTTGATAGCCAACTCCAAATCTTAATAGTGCATTCCATATTGCAAAAATTAAGTAAATGATTTTGATACTTGCTATCATTTTGACATTTTATAACTCTAGTCGATCATAGTCCTAATTTATATAAAACAGCATATGCTTAGATATTTTGAAAATAAATTCTGTTTTCCCAGTAATAATATTAAATAATAAGATACGTTCATCATCATACATACATCAACCATCAGCTGACTGTTTTGTTTTGTTTTATAAAACTAGAAAAGAAAAATATTACAAACCAGGTAAAAAAAATATGTCAGTATGGGGATTTGTGGAAATTGTAGTATTTTCATAGATGAAATCACGAATCAATAGTGGATGCGCACAGCTGAGGACTCCCACACTGGGAAGAAATAGCCTTCTAGTGCCTCCAGATTTTCAATGATGGTCAAGTTTAAATAAACTCGTGAGTTCAACTGCTAAAACAAGTATATGTCGCGTATTAGATCGTTTTGACCATGTATAACATGTGATTACAAAATAACTATATTTTCAGAAATCATGCATCATGAAACAATAAATGAAATAATTCATATTTTATAGTTTGTTTGAATCTTTCCACTGATGTTTAGGACTGCAATTATTCAGTCTTTTATTGGCATATGTGTACCCTGTACGGATTGCCTCGATATTGTCTTAAGTCACAAGCATTATAAGCTGAGATTATGGTGGCTAGCAGTGGGATCCAGGGATGGAGTGAACAACAACTCTGGAATGTAGATACAATCGGCTGACAAGTTCCTGGATACCACTGTTAGCCACCATCCATCTTTGATTATAACGAATGAAATAGCTGAAGTAATCCACTGACACTGCTTACAATACACTAACCAATAAAAACTATACTATTAGGTTTTTTAATTTTCATTTGTTGATCTGCCCCTTTGAATTGATCAGTTTATGATGAAATAAGTACTTTTGGAATAAATCTCTCAATACTGTCTACATATTCAAGTTTTGACTATAGAGTGAGATGCAACATTTTGGATTGGGTTATTAACCACTTGATAAGTAGGAACAGTATAGACGCAAATGTATAACTGAATATTAACCCCTAATGTGTTAGGCTCACACTTTTTATGTTATAATTAAAGAGAAATCCAGAAACCTGTTGAATATCATCCAGTAAATGCTTCTCCACACAACCACTTTCCGGTATACTAACCACATGTAATTTTCAAAATTAACTCAGAGAATCTTATATAATTATACCGATTTTGATGTCGGGGAATATTCTTAATTATTTTCTATTTTAGCGTAATAAAATTTCAATCTTGAAAGAAACAAAATCATGAAAATATTGGGAACTATGTGATTTGTTTGCATAACACTTTCCGAACATTTTGATCATATATACACTTGCTAAGACAAATTAGAAGATAAAGGGAAGCAAAGTTAATAACAAGATGGTGAATGTCAAAAACAGTGAAAAATTCACGCTGAACAATAAACCAGTATTACTAGAGTAGATTAAGGGTAAGAATAAACTATGTTTGAAAACATATAGGGGATTTCAGTTTTTATATTATGATATCTGAAGGGTAAGATGGTAATATACAGAGTTTATAACCATAATTTCTAAATGAAATTTACACGTTATGTAACTGACGACGAATTTGATAGTTGAATAATTGAGTTATAATTTACGCTAGGTCGAATAAAATTATCCAGACCAAGCAACAAAAAAACATATTATCCGGTAAAAAAAGTATTTCATGTGGGAATTATTAGTAGACGTGAAAATGTTTGAGTTTACTAAGTTTTACGTTTTGTTCATTGATGCAGAACAGATATTAATTCATGTGAAATAAGCCGTAATAGTGAAATGTTAGTCATTTATAATAGTTCACTTCATTTTAAAAACAAAATACTCACCTTATTATTTGTTCACAATGCTGGTTCATTTGTCTCAATATACCATAATTGTTAGAAATAATAATATACGTTGAGTTGTTAGTGCATAGAAAACAGGTGGTTGGTTTAGGTGAAATTAAATTGACTAGAAAAATGAAGAGGAAATATTTATGCAATTAGAGTGCAACATAGTAAGAGTACATGTATAAATGGTTTTACAAGGGATTTTATTCCTTATTCTAGAATAATTATAATTTAGATCGCATGACATTGTTTGATCACTAGATAATATAACAATAATGGACCTTGACAAAATGATTCTTCCTTTTGAAGTATCAATTTGTATTCCTTTTCTTTCTTGATAACTTGTCAACATGTTTATTTAATCAATTCGTTTGACTGTTTCTCACACTGTTGTGGTTATTTAACGCTACAACTAAACCATGAAAAGCTCTACTTGGCTATCCTTTGATATTTTTCGGTAATTATTACCAACGAACCTTATCAGTCATCACTCATTTCAGTGTGTTCAAAATCATTGCTCCCATTAATATCGTAAGTAATAAGTTAGGTAGCTACTTGAAATAATATAGTTCACTTATGGGATTCATTGAAAGTTTGTGTGTATGTAGCTAATAAGTAATACTGGAAAATAGCTTCCCGATGACTATTTTAACTTTATAGATTTCAATAATCCCAATCCAAACCATGCAAAATAACGTAATTGGCTATACAAATATCATTTTTATACATTAATCAGCGACTTTAGTCTGATGAACCAAGGAAAATCAGTAACCAGATGTCTTTCAAATTTCAACGAGTCGATGTATCAGTAGACTGGAACAACTACTGGTAAGCTCTACAACTTGAAAAAAAACGACAAGAAATAATATGAAACTGCATATTATCCTGTTATTCTTATTATTTGCACAATCATTACCTTCTAATCTATTTACTTGAAGTTTAATTATAATCATTTAAATGGTTACAAAAGTTTTGCTAAAAATATTTTATCTAAAATCTTCGATAGTGTAAATTCATGAATTTACAATAATAAGAGTTAAAATTAACTAATAGGACGGAACAATAAGACATAATGGCCGTCCAGTGCTTCCAGGTTTTGCATGGTGGTCTAGCTTCAACTGACTCATGATCTTAACCATTGGAATTAATATTTTTTTGGTTAAAAATATCTAAAATCTCATGTACATCTTAAGTAAAGCATATTTATCATAATGTTTTTACTATGATAAACACTAGTAGAGATATAATCTGGGGTGAAACGGCCGTCTAGTTCTTCCAGGTTTTCCATGGTGGTCTAGCTTCATTTAACTCATCTCAACTATTAAAAATATAATTTTTAAGCCAATCCAATAAATTACAGTTGATTGATTCTCATAAATCCAATATTGTATTAAACCTCAATTGTTCGAATGAATGTGCTATCAACGAATTCGTATCAATTGATAAGTATATGGACATTCTGATCCATATGTTTGATCAGTGAAATATACCATATTCAAATGATCAGAGGGAATTCACTAGTAAATATTTTATTCTTTTTTTTAGAGAAAATCGTCACCATCCACTAAAGATCTTAAGCATAAATATCTTTTAGTCAGCCTTGTAGCATAAATATATATTCTTCGGCTTTGTCTAGCAAAATATACAATAACTAAAATACTTGTAGCCAAATTGGATGACTTATAACTATAATGTTCTCCAAAACGCATAGGTTAACTGTGCAGAATTAGGATTTGATGATATTGTTCAGTGTACAATGAGGACTTCCTAATCAATAGAATACCACTGAAAATTTTAGGCCGATATCAGTCATCGGTATGATAATGGGGGTAGTTAAAATAACAGTTCTGAAAGAAATGTTGTGTACTATAGCTGGTTACATTCTTCAGAAACAGGGCGGAATTTTGATGTTACAGTTATTATATATACATATATATATGACGTTGCAAGTTCGGAAACATAACAACCTTTTACGGATACAAGTATTTAAAATGTACAGCATGAAAATTGATTAACCTTAAGGTCCTATAAACTGATTGATTGGCATATAAAAAAACATCATTCAAAAAAACTAACGAATGTTTATAATTCATCTTAACTTAAATAAGCATCACTGTTGAAATTGTACTTCGTTTACATTTTAATTAAAGGTAATATATTTTATTTTGAAAGTGATTTTTATAAGTTACTGTCAATCAATTTGAGTTTTTATGATTACTTAAAGGCCTTTGATAAATGGTTAGATACAAAATGACTTAGGTATTTTAATTACTCTAAGTAAAGAAACAAATTTTATCTACATTGATTGATGATTGTATATTTTGTATTGTATAATTTCCAGTATTTAATTATTCTTCTTCAATACTTTCTGACGATAAACATTTTGTTTTTCTAAATTATATAGTGAATCATCTATATCTAGTTGTTTGTGAATAAAATCAGGATGAGAATTTTAAGTAGTTTTCAAGAACATTTCAATAGTTTCATATTGAGAATTAATACACAAGTTGAAAATCTCCACAAAACCCATTCTGATAATTAATACACAGAAAAAAAGGAGATTGTTTATTCAAACAGATTTTAATTAAGGTAAAACAGTTTCAATAATAAACAACGTCTATATTATTCACTAGATGATCATATCAAAGAAAGATATATCCATAATGACATATAGATGTATGTAAAAGATACTCGTTTGATTGTTATATACAGTATTAAAATAGCAAAGATTTCAACATGACATTGAATATCGAAAAATTATTAAACAACTATGAAAATCACACTTTAGTTTAGTTTATATTTTAATTCACAACATATGGCTAATTTTATTCAATGGGAATTAAAATTGACGGTGAATAAAGATGAGATCAATATGAATATATAAGTTCATTATATGCTGATCTGATTATTTTATTATAATGTGTTATAACTTGTGAACTTGTGCTCTATTAATATATAACGTAATGATACCTACAATTAGAGAACAGTGATTTATCGACCGGACCAACAATGCGTAAACCTGTACGAGCAGTCTACAGTCCTTATCAGCCCTTTTTCTTGCATAGACCTGCCTCTTGAGTCCGGAACACTAATCTCAATCTCCGTGATATAAATAATGTATTTGAAACATACTGGGTTTATATACAAACTAACAGACCACATCGTACCATAAAATAGAAAATAAAATTTGTACAAGACCTAGACAAAAGTGCCTGTGAATGTGTGAGACTGTAATTAATAGACTGGTCGTAACTCAAGAACGGTAAATCGTATAATAATGGTTTATAAAACAAAACGAAGCTTATAGTAAGATAAATATAGATATACGTAATCTAGCTATTGAATAGTTATACACTAACAATATATGTATAATATTTGTCAATAGATTGACATATCACCCATAATTATCTCCGGGATATAACATAACGCTCTGACTACATATCATCAGACTATTGTCACATATGCTTCATTTAATTAGTTATTTTTTTCTCAATATTATATGACGCAAATTATATCTGAAAAATAAACTTAAATTTGAGAGGCGAAGCAAAAATTTCAACTTTGTCGCTATTTTCTAACATAATCATCAAATGATCTGAAATTACTGGTTACGCTGCCATTTATGGTTAACATTATATTCAACCTTATGAATTCCTGGTAGTAGAATGAAACGACTGTCCAATGCTCCATCATTTCATTTTCAGTTTTATTTTAATTCATCATAACATTTATATTTGTAGCATATATTTAATAATCATTTTATTTGAAATTATTATTATTCATGCCTTCATTTCATAATTCTAAAAGTGTTATTCTATGTCCGCAATACGTATTTGTCACACGTTACGAATCTATACTACATATTACATAATATCTTTGATTAAGTTAGATAACCAACATCTAGATAATCTGTTGAACAAATAACATTCTGTCATATCAATGATACATAAAAAAAATATAAACACTTTGAATTAATATACATTTATTCACATTTAATATCATGATCATCGTTTTGTTTTTTCGTCTTCTATATTCTTAACCAAGATCATTTTGCAGGATACAAATTTTTAGCATCGAATTCTTTGCTTGTATATTTTTTTGGAATTACAAATAATCATGCACTTATAAAGTAAACAGAACACTATGTATGTAACATATAGGTAAAGGATAATTATTATTGGTTAAGAAGTATTATGGTAATATTTCAATGATCAAATATAAAGATCATATTACATTAATAATAATAATTTATGATATATAAAAAGTTTTTGTTAATCATATTAAAGATAAGTTTAAGTTACATTTAACTAACGTATAGAATATCAGTATTAGTTCCTTAGCAATTGTTTATTTCTACAGATGTCTATTGGTTTGTTCCTTTTCTAGATTAGGTAATATCGTATTCATTTTTAGATTACTGTTATATTGTATAGTTGAGTAAAATAAACAGGAATGTATTTTAAGTCATTTATGTTTATATTTCTAGTGTAATCATAATCATAAGAATAATAATAAGTTGGGATAGTTTATAAATAAATGATGCCAGAATTTAGTTAAATCTAACGTAAAAATGTTTTGGGATAAATAAAAATGAATGAGTGAACAAATGTTTGTTTAGTCTAATTATTCCAAGTGATTTTCAACAAAAGAATGCCAAAAAAAGGAAGAAAAAGAAATGTAAAACTTTTTTGGAAGCTATATAGAATGGCTTGATTTTTGTATAGAATAAGAAATGACATTATATATTTTATTTCAAGATGGAATGTGATGGTAAGTTCATGGAAAAGCTTTGAATTATAGGGAAAAATATAAAGATAAATTTGAAAAGTATTATCTACTTGATCCTTTCATTATTATCAGAAGGGGTTTTGTGGAGATTTTAGAACTTTCACTGATTGAAATCATCAGTCACTGCTGAGGAGTCCCATACTAGGACGAAACTGCCGTCCAGTACTTTCAGGTTTTTCATGATGGTCTAGCTTCAATTGATTCATGATTTCAATCAGTGACATTGCATTATTGTCATTATTCTACTATTACGTGCAATATTATAACTATTATTCTTGCTAAGGCAAATATTTATAAACGACAACAATAGCAAGAAAGAGATACAACTTTTTT